TGGTTGAAAGTCTCTTCACATCCCGATAGCAATCACTTAGTGAAGTGGTCTAAATTTATTTATATGTATTTATATCATCTGTGGAAGGCGTAGGACCATAAAATGTTCGTCCAATCACATCCCTCGGTCCGAGGACAATGATAGGCTGTCCTACCCATAGATAAGTATATGTAGATGCCTTATTAGCGTCCGCTTCTATACATAAGCCGTCCGCCATATTGGAAGGGTCAACTTGACGTCATTCACCATAATAATCAATGAGTATTCAAAGATGCCACAATCCTTACATATCTATGGTTCCGCCCCTCTCTCGCAGACATGATCCGTCATCAGAGCGTTCCATTACTCTACTGCAGACCGAGTGAGAATGGGAGCCGTTATTATTGTAATATTAAGAGCTTTGTACTGTATTGTTTTCTCACCGGTGAATGAGACATGAGTGGACAGTGTTGCATTCAATCCTCCACCAACACCATCTCTCATCGTGTCGCTGGTTAGCCTCTGGTCATGTGTTTTGGAGGAGGCGTAGCTTTGGAGAGGGATTTGCAGAGAGGGTGGGATCTTATGCTTTCAATGCTAGCTTGCTATTGCTAGCCTCTCCGAAATCACCCTACCTTTAAGTCTAATGAGAACACCAGGAGAGATATGGCAAACTTTTGGTCTCTTTCTCATACAAAATGTACTTTGTATGTACGGTGAAACCCAAAGTATACTTTGTTTTTGTATGCGTACATTAGCATATGCATACAGTCAAAACGCGTAGCCTTTCAAAGTATACTTCATTTAATAATGTGCGCGAACACAGGCGGTCAACACATGCACTCTAGAAAGCCTCATCTTTGTCCACTCTCTGCGCTAATTTTCTCCAGAAGTTATGACCGATAAAAATGCCTTTGCACTCTTTTAAACTAAAGTTGCGGAAGTCTCATAACTCTCGCACATGTGCTTGTCAATGCAGCCGTCTGTTGTTCTGGCAGTCTCTGCTATTTTGTTGTTGTTGTTCTGTCTCTTTAGTTTTGTTTTCTACTGTGAATCAACGACCCGGGCTAGTGTTGCCACCTTGTGGAACAACTGATTAGTGCAAAACAAATTCAACACGCTTGTGCGACCCAGTTACAAAAAGCAAATGTGTACTATTCTGGTGAGGAAATTAGCTTCACACGCACTGTACATGGAACCGTGCGCACATGTAAATACCGAAGTATACTTTGAGCTTTACAAAAATCAGGTGGTGCGTGTACAGTATGTGCGTACTGTTCTGATTACCTTAGTGTACGCGTAAAAAGTGAAACCTACTTTTGGTTTTTGTATATAGCACACAAGTAATGAATGGTCTGAATTCACTTTGATTGTGGAAATGAGGAGTCTTGATTAGGGGTGTGCCTTATCATACCGTCCACGATAATACCGGTATAAATTTTTACATGATAAAAATGTTTCATATCGCGATATCAATCAGCGACGCGATGGCGTATGGCTGATATACGTTCCTTAGCGCACACAACAACAACACCACAAACCCAATAGGTGTGTTCGACTTGAAGCAGCGCTGCGCAGACTGATCAGTGTATGACATTAAAGTATCGCGAGAGCGGCTCTAGAGCATATTCGAGCGCACACTCTTACCTTCAAAAATAGGCGAGGCTCATATCTTTAGCGAAGCCGCGCGGAGAGAGGGGGGGGCCTGGCAATTTTAACCGACTGCCCGAGGCCAGCATAAAAAGACGGCCTGCGCGTCGTCATGAAAGCTTATCAATTGCACGTGTTTTAAGCCTTTGCCAATTGAAACATTCAAAACAGTTTAAGGCATTCAAAAACAAGACACGGAAAAACTCAACTGAGAGTTCGCGCGCCGAGTTCGGTGCGCACACGGAGAGCCACGCAAACACCAAACCAAGCTCTTCTTTGCTTCTTCCCATGCCTGAACAAACAAATACACCTCGCCAGTTTAAACATACAAGCACAAAAAGACATGAAAAGCTTAATTCAGCACCCGCACGCTGATTTGTGCGTACAATGTTCATGCAGAGAGCCACGTCTACAGCCCTCAAACACCGAATTGAGTTTTGTCTCTTCTTGCTCTTGAAACGACAAATACATACAAAATTGTCACAATACCTGTCTTTGCGAGTATCCTCGAAAAAATGGTCGGTTGTGTCTTATGTGAAAGTAAACAGTTGAGTAAGAAACAGAATGTGTATCATTATACTGGATGTATTATCTCTTAAAGTGACCGCGCCTAATTTACTAGCTGCTGTCAGTGTCCTTAATGTTAATCCAAGAAATTAAATAGGAGAAAATCACTCACTGCTCTTTACTGGATTACTTTGTAGTTTTAAGAAGAATTCATCTGTATTTAATTTATACAGTGAAGACTATGCAATGCTATTTATATTTGATTGATCAGTTTCTGTACCTGGACACCTACAAACTTGAAAAAACTTAAACATTGTTTAATTTGTATATTTGTGCTATTTACACAATTTCAAACAGGGCCCACTTGTACAACCTGCACCGGAGCCCCGCAAACCCCAGCTACGGCCCTGTACACCGATCGGTCTGCTTCAAGTCGAACACACAGCTGCTGCTGCCACCTTATGACAATAGATGTACACTTCAAATTAGGTAGTCTGTCATCGATGACAGTAGCTCATTGGAAAAGGATGGAAAATGCCCTTCATTTGCACTAATAAATGCTGCTGCCTGCCAGCTGCAATCACCAATAAAACATTGTTCCATGTTTTTTTTGTCTATATCGTCATAAATTCGCAAATATTCTTGAAATACCGTGATATAAATTTGAGGCTATATCGCCCACCACTAGTCTTGATATCTCCTATTGTGTTTCATGAAAGATGTTTCAGGAATATTGTTTTGCTACATGATGACGAGTAGATTACAATTTTTATTTTGGGTGAACTGGAGGAAATGCTGAAGTTGCACAAATGTACCGTGGGCAGTGCCGTCTCCCTCTTTCTTATGTTTATAAAGTCTTTTTTAACTGCTTCCGTTCAACAATTAATATATAATTTTGTTTGCCTGATTGTCAGTTTCACAAAATTGTATTAACTCCCAAATTTTTTACAGATCCTAAATCATGATGAGTTTTGTGTAGTTTCAGATTGAGTTAGTTGTTTTGGCTGTGCTCACTCAGCGCCGCTCTGCTGACCTGTTTCCACAGGAAGATCTGTGTGCACTGTAAGTGTGTGCGGGAGGAGCATGTGGTGCGCTCTGTGCCCGGACAGCTGGAGAGAATGATGTTGAAGCTGGTGTCTGACTTCCAGAGGCACTCCATATCTGACGACGACTCGGGCTGCGCCTCGGAAGAATATGCCTGGGTGCCGCCCGGGATCAAGCCTGAACAGGTGAGCAGGCAACATTCAGGAGAATCTATACATACAGTTGCATTTAAGTAAAGGGTTCAGTGATTGGAGAAGTTTGCTCTGAAGCAGCCAATCACAGCCTCTCTTGCACTTAGTCAGAGTGGCTGTTCTTTTCCATTCAGTGAGACATAATGGCGATTCACACGTCAAGCTTCACTAAGAACAAAACAGCATCATATCGGTTGCCTCGTGTAGTTTTGACATTAAGCATTGTTTTTTTCCACATTTTATTTCATTCTGCTCAATAATCACCCACTAGCACAGGAAGAGATTGTACTCACATGAAAAGCGACCTCAGTTTGTGATTAGTTTTCTAGGTCAATCTAAAATTGGATTATAAGTGTGTGTCCATGGTGCTTTTTTTTTTTGCCTTTTTTCCCTATCACATATTTTAGTAATCATCCTAAATTAGATATCATTCGAAAGCTTTTTAAATCTGTTTAGCAGGCTCCTCCCCCTAGTGGGCGGTGTCGAGTGTCATATTACAACATTTACTACACTATTTTATAATCAAAACTTTCTAATCTTGACAAAACATCATTGGAAAGGTTTGAGATTTAAAAGCACAATATGTAAGATTTTTGTATTAAAATGTACAAAAACCACTTGAACGGTGTTATATATTTTGCTGACTTGTGTACTTACATTATCCCAAATGTTTCGAAGAATGTTTAAATCCAGAGAAATAAGCAATTTTAACTAGTGACACGCACCGTGTCTATAGTGTCATTGTGTCGCCTGCCAATGACGTCCTTGATTTCTGGTTTTGTTTTGTAGAAAACATGGAAACACCAAAGACGCTTTAATATGTTGTGTGTTTTAATAGACCGGTGACGACCGCACAGAGTAGCATTATAACAGAACTTTCAAACGTATCTAGTAACAGCGCTGCTTTACCCCACATACGCACGACCGAAAGGAGCGGAAGCGGTCGGCTGTGGCATAATAAAAGCTCCGCTGCTTTCGAGCCGTGTGTCGCGCTCGTCTCATTAACAATTGCTTCAGCGGCCTCGCTTCGCTTCGACGGCTTTCAGCCTCACTCTGCTTCATACTACGATGTTAATAAATCTTTAATACATTAGCTCATCCATGAACATGATTTCTGCCCGAGTCCCGTCGGATTGCATCAGCTGTGGGGATGAAGACCACAACTCCCATGATTCCACACTCAGTCACAGCGTCATCTAACTACGCCTTTGCTTCTTTGTTTGTTTTGAATACGCGCCCTCTAGCTGCGAAAACTTACATATTGTGCCTTTAAGGTATTTTGACAGACATTTATACCCGGTGGCTATTTTTAGTACAATGCCTCGACAAAATCTCACTGGAACCTCAATTTTTGTGATATCAACTTCAAATTTGGAACCTAACTTAATTAGAGCTTTGGTTGTATAGCAAATGTACACATTTTCTTTACAGTAAACACACTTCTATAACTTTTTTACACTTTCATTTTTTTTAATGATTATTATTCTTTTTTTTATGACTTTCACTTTTAATAATCTGCTGATTGTCGTCTTTAAAAAGAGACCAACCTTAGGTCTGTATTCCAAGGCGTTCATAAATTGCAACCATTGAAGTTCAGATTTTCACGTCTATGTTCAGAAAGGGGGGGTGACAGTTAATTATCTGTGTTCGTGTGTGTACAGGTGTATCAGTACTTCAGCTGTATTCCAGAGGACAAGGTTCCATACGTCAACAGTCCAGGAGAGCGATACCGTATTAAACAGCTTTTACACCAGCTGCCGGCCCATGACAGCGAGGTAAAACTGCTTACATCCTCACACTCGTCTCTGGATCCCAAACCCACAGCTGTGAATCCTGAATCTATGAACCCTACAGCCTGGTCTTAGATTCTTACAGTAGACCCTCACTGTAGATCACAAGATCCAGGGGGCGTGGTTGGAGTCACATCTAGGGGGTGGAGATTGGAGATGGGTGGGTTTAGGGATCAGGGGGTGGAGACGGGTAGGTTTAGGTATATGTAAGGTGGGAGGAGTTGGATCTGGATCCAACCACACCCCCTGGATCTTGTGTTATGAGTCATAGCTTACTGCACACTGAGTACTACTTTTTACAGTAGTAAGCAGTATGCAGTGATAATTATTCAAACTAATTAAAAACAGTGAAGTATGCTACATGTTGTCAGGTGTACATTAAATTGATCAAAAGTGACAGCAAAGACATTATTTTATAATGTTAGAGAAGGTTTCGGTTTCAAATAAATGCTGTTCTTTTGAACTTTACAATTCATCAAAGAATCCTGGGGAAAAAAATTAAGCAGCGCAACTGTTTTCAACATTGATAATAATCAGAAATGTTTCTTGAGCAGCAAATCAGCATATTAGACTGATTTCTGAAGGATCATGTGACACTGAAGACTGGAGTAATGATGCTGAAAATTCAGCCTTTCACAGAAATACATTATATTTTAAAATATATTAAAATACAAAGCAGTTCTTTTAAATTGTAATGATGCTTCATAATAATACTTTTTAAATATTTTTCATCAAATAAATGCAGCCTTGGTGAGCAGAAAAGGAAAAAAAATCTTACCCCAAACGTTTTAAGTATTTGCTGTAGTTTTTCATGCTGATTTGGAACAAAAAATAAATATCAGTTTTCCTTTTTTACTATGGTAATACGATATTTTTTGGGGGAAACTTAATCACCATATAAATAATGCAAAAAAACGTACTTAATGGCCATAAAAATAGGCTTCATTTTCATTATGCAAAACATCATTTCTTAGCGTGCAATGTTTTTTTCATGTTCAACATGTTTTCATGGATCCATCATGGCCTGAATTCATTCATGACGATGACAATGTCAGGTTGTAAGTGTGTGTTGGTCTTGTGTGAGTTGTAACAGTACTGTAAATGTGTGTGTGCACAGCCTCAGTACTGTAACTCTCTGGATGAAGAAGAGAAGAAAGAATTGAGGTTATTCAGCCAGCAGAGGAAGAGAGAGAATCTGGGCCGCGGCATCGTTCGACTTTTTCCGGTCACCATGACCGGAGCCATCTGTCAACAGGTAGAGAAACACAGACATGAAAGATCTTCTCAACTGTAACGTCACCTTGAAATGACAACTCGCTGCTTCCTCGCCCTGGACAAATAGTGCATACTTATCTGAGCTTCAGCTGAAGTATGGTGTGCGCATTGAACTACTTGAGCTGAAGAGGCTCTCGTCTGGCATGCGGCTTCAGGAAACTTTTTAATATGCTGTGATCAATTCAGACTCCATCCTGAGCAGAGCCAAGGCAGATATCATATGTACTAGATAAAAGCGCATACTTTCCATTCACCCTCTGTGATATTTCAAGAGCTTTGCCACATTTCAACACCCATAATGCACCCCAGCTGATGAGTAGCTGCCAGGAGGGAGCTGGGAGCAGAAGGAGAAGCAGTTTGTGTCATGTTGTGTTGATTTGTGTGAATACTCTTGTCTTTTTTATGTTATCAAACAGAAGAAACAAAATTAGTATGTATCTTTTTTCATATTTTACATAGAAAGTTTTTTTTAAATTGTGGCTTTATTATAGCTGTTCATTATAGAGGTTGTGCTCTGCTAAAGAATAAGGAAGTGCTGTTAAAGCTTAGTTAAAGAGTGCTAGAAATTATATGAAGCAGATTTGCCCTTTTAATCACTGTAACACAAGTTTGAGTGGCTTTTTTTTTGCCTAGTGTATGTATATATATATATATATATAAAAAATTTTAATGACTCATCCTGCACTGTTCAGTTAATAATAATAATAATACCGGTAATAATAATTTTATTTGAATTCAATCAATAAAGATATGTAACTATAGTAATATTATTGTACTGTAAAAAAGTAATGGAGTATTTAATAATAATTGTAATAATAAAAATTAAATCAATAACGATATTACTATCGTAATATTATTGTTCTGTAAAAATAATGGAATATTTAATAATAATAGTAATAATAATAATAATGCTATTATTATTATAATTGTTATTTTATTAAAAGATTTTAATAATTTAGAAAATATTTCAATAAAGAAATATTGCTTTAGTAATAATACTATTGTCCTTTAAAATAAATAGTATTTTATAATAATAATAACCATTATTATTCAATATTTTATTATTATGTACATATTTTTTTATAGAAATAATACTGTTGTACTGTAAAAAATTTTTTTTTACAATTTTGTAAAAAAATTTGACAATACTAATAATTATGGCTGTTTTAATTTCTTTGCTTTCAAATGTCAAACCATAGAACTTTATTTTATTATTATATTATATTATATGATCAGTTATAAATAAATAAACGGCACTGATCAGGAGATTTCATGGGATCTTCTGCTGTTCTGCTTGTTTCTGTCTCATCACAGCGGTCATGTGTGAGCAGCCAGCGCTTTCAGAAACCGTGTAATTTTGAGTTTGGAAACGTCCTGTAGCTCTGTTCTCACCCCGCTCTCTTCGTCTCAGTGTGGCAGGCAGATCTGCGGCGGTGACATAGCGGTGTTTGCGTCGCGAGCGGGTCACGGCTCCTGCTGGCATCCTCAGTGCTTCCAGTGCGCTTCCTGTAACGAGCTGCTGGTGGATCTCATTTACTTCTATCAGGACGGGCACATCTACTGTGGCCGGCACCACGCCGAGCACATCAAGCCCCGCTGCCAGGCCTGCGACGAGGTGACCGCTATCCCACGGCTTTCCACCCAGTTCCTGTTTTCCTCCATTTGTTGGAGGCGTGGAGTAATGCTTATCACATATGAGCCAGACACACTGAGCCTTGGTGCTCATGCAGGAGACACAGGTTCACATTTACAAAAATAGAATTTGATCCCAACCCTGCATCAATGAGTATTTATTAATAACACTAGCATTTTCTATTCTTTTGAATAAAAAAGGCCCTCTAACACTACTTTTTTTTAATTCTATCTACTTGTTTTTCTTTTTATTTATTAGTAAAAAAAAACCTTGCAACATGTGTACTGCGTTAGGCTGAAAGAGACTTGTCACAGCACTTACATATTATTGCTGCTTTGTTGGTTTTGATTGCTTATATTATCCTCATTTGCAAGTCGCTTTGAATAAGTGTCTGCTAAATGACTGAATGTAAATGTGGGTCAAACACACGTTTCTACGAGTTGCTGCATGTGACTTACACGGTATCTTGCTCCTGCTGTGGTGATCAGATCATCTTTGCGGACGAGTGTACGGAGGCGGAGGGCCGGCACTGGCACATGAAGCACTTCTGCTGTTTCGAGTGTGAGGCGGCGCTGGGTGGCCAGCGCTACATCATGAGAGAGAGCCGGCCGTACTGCTGCCACTGCTACGAGTCTCTGTACGCCGAATACTGCGACACCTGCGGAGAACATATCGGTGAGAGCACACAGACAACACTGTATCAAACCGCTGCTTACATGGACACGCCACTCAATGAGAGAGTGAAAGAATATTTAGAGTAAATATAAATATAACTCCAATATATAGCAGACGTTTTGAGGCTAAACAAAAACATATCTGAAAAAAAAAAACACTTTTCATTATAATATCACATCACTATAAATATATATTTTTAAATTTTTATTAAAAACCATGTAAATTGAAGGCAATGCGACAAATACTACTGTGATGTATAAATATCATTTCAATAATCTAAATAATATACCTTATGCATTACAATGTTGAGAATGCACTTTATAATCATGAAATTAAAGTCTTAAAACTTGTCCTAAAAATGTATTTATGCAAAATATAGAGTATAAATCTATCACTGAAACTTTAGCAATGTCTAGGATGCACATGAAATGACAGAGGAAAAAAATAATAAAGCTTAATAGAAAAAAAAACTATATTTATTGAGGTCATTTGCATTATGTAATTTACTCTTTTTATTTATTTTTTTATTAAATTAGTACGTTTATTCAGCAAGTACACATTAAATTGATCAAAAGTGACAGTCAAGACTGTGAAACTGTACAAAACATTTCTATTTCAAATAACTGCTTTTATTCCAGAAATGCATTTATTTTGTCTATATATCTATCTGTCTGTCTGTCTGTCTGTCTGCCTATCTATATATCTATCTATCAATCTGTCTGTCTGTCTGTCTGTCTATCCATCCGTCTGGCTGTCTGTCTGACTATACGTTTGTCTGTCTATCCATCTGTCTGTCTGTCTGTCTGTCTATCCGTTTGTCTGTCTATCTGTCTGTCTGTCTATCCATCTGTCTATCTGTCTGTCTGTCTATCCATCTGTCTATCTGTCTGTCTGTCTATCCATCTGTCTATCTGTCTGTCTGTCTATCCATCTGTCTATCTGTCTGTCTGTCTATCCATCTGTCTATCTGTCTGTCTGTCTATCCATCTGTCTATCTGTCTGTCTGTCTATCCATCTGTCTATCTGTCTGTCTGTCTATCCATCTGTCTATCTGTCTGTCTGTCTATCCATCTGTCTATCTGTCTGTCTGTCTATCCATCTGTCTATCTGTCTGTCTGTCTATCCATCTGTCTATCTGTCTGTCTGTCTATCCATCTGTCTATCTGTCTGTCTGTCTATCCATCTGTCTATCTGTCTGTCTGTCTATCCATCTGTCTATCTGTCTGTCTGTCTATCCATCTGTCTATCTGTCTGTCTGTCTATCCATCTGTCTATCTGTCTGTCTGTCTATCCATCTGTCTATCTGTCTGTCTGTCTATCCATCTGTCTATCTGTCTGTCTGTCTATCCATCTGTCTATCTGTCTGTCTGTCTATCCATCTGTCTATCTGTCTGTCTGTCTATCCATCTGTCTATCTGTCTGTCTGTCTATCCATCTGTCTATCTGTCTGTCTGTCTATCCATCTGTCTATCTGTCTGTCTGTCTATCCATCTGTCTATCTGTCTGTCTGTCTATCCATCTGTCTATCTGTCTGTCTGTCTATCCATCTGTCTATCTGTCTGTCTGTCTATCCATCTGTCTATCTGTCTGTCTGTCTATCCATCTGTCTATCTGTCTGTCTGTCTATCCATCTGTCTATCTGTCTGTCTGTCTATCCATCTGTCTATCTGTCTGTCTGTCTATCCATCTGTCTATCTGTCTGTCTGTCTATCCATCTGTCTATCTGTCTGTCTGTCTATCCATCTGTCTATCTGTCTGTCTGTCTATCCATCTGTCTATCTGTCTGTCTGTCTATCCATCTGTCTATCTGTCTGTCTGTCTATCCATCTGTCTATCTGTCTGTCTGTCTATCCATCTGTCTATCTGTCTGTCTGTCTATCCATCTGTCTATCTGTCTGTCTGTCTATCCATCTGTCTATCTGTCTGTCTGTCTATCCATCTGTCTATCTGTCTGTCTGTCTATCCATCTGTCTATCTGTCTGTCTGTCTATCCATCTGTCTGTCTGTCTATCTGTCTGTCTGTCTGTCTGTCTGTCCATCTGTCTGTCTGTCTGTCTGTCTGTCTGTCTATCAGTTTGTCTGTCTGTCTGTCTGTTTGTCTATCTATCTATCTGTCTGTCTGTCTATCCATCTGTTTGTCTGTCTGTCTGTGTCTGTCTGTCTATCTCTGTCGGTCGGTCGGTCAGTCAGTCTAGATATCTAGAAAAATTGATATTCAACATGGATGGGTTAAATTTATCAAAATTGATAGTAAAGACATTTATAATGTTACAAAAGATACAAAATATAAATATTGTTCTTTTGAACTTTCTATTCATCTAAGAATCCTGTAAATCACAGTTTCAACAAAAATATAGCATAAATGTTTTAACATTGATAAAAATAAAAATTTTTACTTGAGCAACAAATCAGCATATCAGAATGATTTCTGAAGGATCATGTGACACTGAAGACTGGAGGAATTATGCTGAAAATCAGCTTTACATCACAGGAATAAAACACATTTTACAATATATTCAAATAGAAAACAGTTATTTTAAATTGTAATAATATTTCACAAATTACAAAATGGTGAACAAAAGACACAAAAAAAATATTAAAAAATCTAACCAAAATATAACCGGAGCTGCGTTTCCCAAAAGCACTGTGAGCTCAAGTTGATCATGAAGACCATTGCCACCAGTGTTCTCTACGATCAACTCACAGTGCTTTTAGGAAACGTAGCCCAGGACATTTTTATTGTGAGATTTACCTACATGATCAACAATTGTAAAATTGAATATTATTGACACTGTTTGTATTCAGAAGCATCTCTAATTCCCTGCTTGTTCATTTTGCAGGTGTTCACACCTCTTTCCATCCTATACTGAATGGCAAACCTCCACCGTATGGACAAACGCACACACAACACTCACATCTGTCCTCTCAGCTCTGTCTAGTAGCCAATGACAGGGTATTTTATTATAGGGAAAATTAATACAAATAACTTCACATTTCTATTTCTACATTTGGTCCCAATCTGACCAGTTTCCACCTTAGGTTTAGCAGCATCTTTCACATTTGTTAGAATTGAACAAAAATTCATACCCATTTCATTTGTCATACCCATCTAAGTAGTCTAATATTTTCTATCCTATTTATAGAAAGTGCAACAAATGTCTTTAAAAAAATTAAATAAAATACTTTCTGAGCTCCCAAGCACCTGACGAGGTTGTGTTGGAAATGCTTAAAGACTGGGCTTCCCAAACGGGGGGGTTTGTGAATTCACAAAAAGCTAATAATTAATTCAATAGAACACAAGATTAAAATAAACCGATGGGGCTGTACCCTCTTCTCAAACTGTGATGGTCAAGTCTTACGTTATTTTAGGAAAGACACTTTCGTCTTAACATCATTACAAAGAAGCTGTTGGTGTTTCAAGTTTTACAAGTTTGATTGCTTCAGTGTATAGTTCACCCAAACAATCTGTCAGCATCCACTCACCCTGCAAACATGTGACTGACTGACTTCTGTGGAACATAAAAGGTGAATTTTGAGGAATATTCTCACCAGTCTTCAATATAATGAGTGAACCCCAGGACTAGGGCCGCACAATAAAGGTTAAACTAATAATCACGATTAGTTTGCTCAAAAAATATAATCACTATTATTAATCAATCACAATTACGGCCATGTTAGGGTTTTTTTTTTTGTGACATTTCATCAGAATTATTACAACTTTCACATAAGCACAAATCAAGAGAATGACAACTTAGCATGGTGTGTTCGCAGATTCACAGCAAACAGTGTGAAACAAAACAGACTGGCTGCATGACTTTTATTTGAGAGGAATATCTCAATAGAGACTGCAAATGTGTTTTCAGCTCATCGGCACTTCTTCCATAATACAGAGAGTGCATGTGTGCATGGTTGCCAGGTTGGGAAGATTGGAAAATTTGCATGAGACTGGGCAGAAACTGTATGCATTCAGGAGAAAAGCTCTGATTTAATGGGGATTTAAACTCTTGACATCTGGCAACCGTGATCATGAAAGCTTGCGGAGGCTTAATGGAAGAGATAATGCAAAGGCTAAATTAATTAAACGTTTTCGGGATCAATAACCAGCAGACAATTATGCCTAATTAGTTGTGAACAGCAGAAAACCTGATCACGATTAAAATATGGTTTATCATGCAGCCCTAACTGTGGGACTCTGGTTGTCAAGCTTTAAAACACAATTCAAAAACACTATAAAAGTATCAAAAACGTCTGTCTTTTAAATCTTATGAAGTTATACAATATCTTTGTGTGAAGACTAACATTTAAGTCAATATTCACTGATGAGCATTTAAACCAGTGAGCTAAAAAACTGGATCGCCCTGTTTCATGATCACCCAAACTGGTTTTGTGAACTAGATCAGCAGATTCACAGAAAAGATCCGAATCGAAATAATGATTTCTTCATGAATCATGAAAGTAAGTTGTGAGACTTGAGTAAATGATGACAAACTTTCATTTTTGGGTGAACTATTCACACTACGTTACAGTGAAATGCTGTTATGACTTGCATCAATGGTGATCTCATTTGATCGTGTTTCCTTCAGATGGGTCGTTCCACCGCAGTTTCCGTCGGGGAAGCGGTGTCCACCATCCCAGCGAGAAGCGGCTCAGACGCTCCCGAGGTTCACGAAGCGACAGACTGCGGCCCCCTACCCTGGAGTGCAGGGTAGGGGACCGCAGGCGGTCCAACAGCGTCCTGGACGGCAGCCTTACCCTGCACTCCACCCGCTACCGGCACGAAGACTCCTGCTCCACCTGCTCCTCTTCCTCAGACTCGGAGGAGGAAGGCTTCTTTCTGGGCCAGCGCATTGCTCTGCCGCCGCAGCTGACGGGTGAAGAGAGAGCAGCAGAAGGACAGACAGAGGACGAGGACAAGAGCCGAAGAGGAAGCTTCAGGAGAAGGACACAGAGTCTCGGTAGAAAAGACAAGGATAAGGACAAGAACTGCATACTGTCCTGAGACAAAGACATGTGTGTTAAAAACTGGAAATTAAAGAACGCTGTCAAGACTAACAAGCTGCTCAGTCAAGATCAAAGTTTATGAGTCACATGTCCTACAGTCTGTGCAAATGTGTGCCAGTATTTTTATAAAGGTGATGAAATATTACCCAATATCAGTTTCAGTATCATGGTGCTTAGTCAAATTTACTGGCGTTATTATTCGGGCCGAGGAACATTTCCAATCCAAATTTTGTTTGTTACAGGAAAAGTAGAAGTACAGTTTCTACATTTATGCGAGAGAGCTAGGTGAACTGATTTCATTTTACATTTCTTTACAGCTAAAGGCCTGTTTCACACAACACAAATATTTGGCAAAAAATGCACTTCAATTTTGGCATGCTGTTCAGTATGGAAGCTTGTTTCTGCCACCTAATAAATAAATAAAGGTAATCGCTACTACCCCCCCCCTCATAATTCAGACTTTTTTGCAAGTTTATATCTTGCAGTTCTGACTTTTTTCTCAGAACTGCAAGATATAAATGTGCAAATCTGAGAAATAGTCAGAATTGTGTGAAAACTCACAATTTCAAGAAAAAAACTCAGCGTTGTGAAATATAAACTCGCAATTGTGAGGAAAAAACGTTAGAATTACCAATGACCTTTTGTTTTATTTTTTTTTATTCAGTGGCGGAATCGGGTTTCCATAGCCAGACGAATTAATGAAAAAGCAATTTCACGCACAGTACATGAAAAGTACACTTACAGAAAAGCAAAATTACTCCTGCACAAAAAAATACAACTTTCCATTTCTGACATTCGCTTGACACAAGTAGAAAGGAAATCAAAACCGTATTCACATGTCTTCTAACAGCTGTTGAGATTTTTGTATTTATTATTCTGTTTATCAAGCAATAACACAACACATAGGCAAGAAAGCCGCTCACAGGCTCTTCCTCCGCTGTTCACGGTTGCTTAGAAAAAGTTGCTTAGTTGGTTTGTGAGCACCACCAAGTTTTAGCTTTATGTAACATCAATGACTTTGAGCATGTGACAAAAAAAAAACTCATTCAAAATTAAATTGTTTATTGTACCGGAGTTTTGCGATAAATATTTGTCTTGGTGTAAACAAACCTGGAATTAGAGCCATGGTAACTATGTTCAAAATTATATTATGCATTACATTACATGAATGCAACACTAAATATCTGCAATAGTAATGTGCTACTTTGTTGTCATATGACCATCTTATGTTTTCAAATCTAATTTTGTGTTATAATATCTTTTGGCGATCAAATAATGTTAAAAATCACAGATGTGCAATTACATTGAAAGTGTGTGGTCAAATCAAGCACATTGCATTGTGGGATGGATTACCAGTGTTTGCACTACTAAATACTGCACGTTTGGAAATTAACAAATGTATGACAAAAGTCGCATGCATAAGGAAAATACTCATTGTATGAACAGTATACAGTGGTTGTATGCTATTCACAGCCTGTGTGTTGGTGAAAGATCATTCCAGTCATTCAGCAAAACCAGTTCAAATCATAGAAATGAGTGTTGTTTGTGTGTTGGAGAATGTTGTGTTGGGGAAAGTTACTTTTAAAAGTAATGCATTACAAAATTGCATTACTCCCTCAAAAAGTAACTAATTGCGTTACTTAGTTACTTTTTATGGAAAGTAATGCGTTGTTACTTTTACGTTACTTTTTCACATCTGGGCTGGGCTTGCTTATTTGTTTTTAATTTAAAAAAAAAAGTTTAAATTCTGTCCCCTTTTACACCAAAAATGAAATGAAATAAGCCTCAGGCTGAAGGAAATGTAAATATTGCAGGTTTGCATCATATTCTGAGTTTGCATTTCACTGTTTTTTATTTATTTTGAGGAATACTGAATTTGTTTTTGTGTAACTGAGATGAGTAAATGCATGTTCACATTTAGTCTAGAACTACAGTAACATCATGTTCACACAGCGCACACAACGCCTCTGAACTTACTCCGGATTTCTCTCAACATGAGGACAGGAGAGCTGTCAGCCAATCAATGGGAAAACAAAGTAACTGGCATTACTTATTTGAAAAAGTAACACAGATATTTTCCTGTAAATTAAAAAGTAATTGGATACTTTACTAGTTACTTGAAAAAAGTAATCAGCCACGCCCTCCTAAAACGGCTCGTTCTAACACGCCCCCACATATCTACATCACGATGTGGAAAGATTTGCATAACGCCACCCAAATGTTCACGCAAAGAAAGAAGGTGTAACTTTTATTCTCGCTGTAGTATTGTTGTTGCTGCCGCCATGTCGGTGTCATCACATGACTCCTTCGTCGAATCCGCCGGCCTCCGCTCACTCAAGCACGCGGTGTGTGATGCTGTTTCACTGTGAAAGCGAAACTACTTTGTTTGGTCTTCCAAAAGAGGACACGACTAGAAATCAGTGGTTAAGTTGTGTTTACAACACTGTTCCAGAACAGTTCAACCCAAATATTCAGATGTGTGCAGCACATTTTATGGAAAATAGTGTTTTTTGAACCTTAAACCGCATAAACACATTTCATTACACCAAATACACAAAATAATGTTTTTTTAGCAACACCATATGACCCCTTTAAGTGCTAAATCTAAAATAAACTACTTAAACAGGTAAATAGTTGTTGCTTGTTTGACTGGTTTTGAGAGGGCTGTGTAATTTGCACTTGCTGAAGGTTTAACTACATAAAAACTTAATGAAATGCAAACACAATGTTGTGGAGCATGTACAGGAGACACAAGTCAACATACTGTATAGCGAAAGTCGTAAGGCTACTACAGGCCATATCATAACAGAATGTGGGAAAATATAATCTTTATCTCCTCATCAACTGTAAATATGTATATATTGACATTTCAAACCTCTGTGTGTAAATGAGAGTTTAAATAAAGACACGAGTTTTACTTTGTGTTTTGCAAAATAGAGATCAAAGGACTGTATGTTAGAATTGTATTTTTATAAACAACATGGTGATGGTTTTATATTCTTGTCAAGATGCTTTCTGGCCTAATATAATTTTTTAGAAACTTTAAAAAGTTACCTTTTTGAATGAGAAAATAAACACTTGATCCTAAACATTATGGTTTTGTGTTTGCTAAATATTTCCTAAACATTGTTTAGACAATTGTTTAAACAATTGACAATTTAGACATTGTTTAAACATATGTTTCCTAAACTTTTTTATTTATTTTTTTGTATTTTAAAGTAAATTTATTAAGGCGCTGACCAAAATGATGATTGTACTCACATCTTGTTTTTAGCATGTACATTTGGCTACAAAGTCTATAAATAACTAAATAACACTGCAAATCAGAAATACGATACCTACGCTGTTTTTTTTTCTTTCTCATTGTGTAGTTCTGTATATATATATATATATAAACAGAATTCCAAAAATAACAATATATTGTCTTAAAGATAATCGACTAGAAACTAACTTGATGTAAGCTGTCTCTTCTCTACTTACAGATGACAGACAAAAGGTGGCTTGAGAATATTCTCAAGGTAAAGGTGGCTTTTTCTTTGTGATCAGGTGACTCAAAGGGCATATGGGACATACTTCCTGGAGTGTGACTGAGATCTGATTGGATGGGACAAGAAAAAAAGAGCAGGAGGAGTGTTTGAGGAGAGAGTCAAACCGGTCTGGCAAGTTTTACTTTCTCCTTAACACAAACACACACGTGTGCACCATCTGCCTTGCTATCTTTCTGCTCTCTGACACACAAGTCATTACGGACTCAAACTTTAGAGATTAGAGGGGAAACTAGTGCTGTTGAGTCTCCTGAAACAGTCACAGGTATGTGTTTGGTTGTGTGTGTATTGTCTGTTAATGTGTCTCAATGTGATCTATACCTTTAAACAATGTGGCTAATATATATACTTTACTACAATCTGTTATCAACGTTTGCCTCGTTCTAATTCCCCGTAACTGATGTTTTGGTTCTAGAAACAGTCTTGGATCATGTAGAGACATGCAGTATCCTGTCCCTGGAATCTGTAAGTGAAATCTTGTGTTTCATTTATTCTTGTTGACCTTATTTTTTTCTTGCCTTAAGGGATCGATTTCATATTTACTTCATCTTGAATTGTAATATCATTGTTGTGTTTAAAACAGGTATATAGAAAGAGATAAAGGGAGAGTGAGGTCAGAAAGACTGAGCAGAGAGGATGAAAGGATGGAAAAATGTATGGATCGTAAAAGACAGGAAAGAATAGAGTACACGGCGCACTTTAACCTTAGGAGGAGTGCTGGCTGATATGTTAAACGAATGATAAACATTTAGACAATGAGCTAGTATGTCACTGGCCGTACTTTGCCTCTAAGCGAAAGTATCTTAAGTCCATTGATAAAAGTCATTTATCAACAACACTAGACAAAAATCCAGTGTGAAACATCAATAAGTCCCTTGAGTTAACCAGTGAGGCAATGTAAGTGTCACAATCGTGGACAAATGTTTTCATATCAGTCATGTTGGTTTGCTAAATGGAAGGACACTGAAAAAGGCTTTCAGTGTGATTTACAGTTATTTTAGGAAGTATTCAATTAATAATTCCTTTGAAAATCAATTAAGTGAATGCTAGAAGAAAGTGCTAGCCTTTTAGCCACTGCTAATATATTAGGTTTAATGGTTTCAAGCCATCCTGGAACATACATCAACAGCCTAAAGAGCTCATTAATGGTGTTTGCTAAAGCAAGTACCACTTTTATTAATGCTCATACCTCTAACCCCAAGTATTTATTTTTTTGGAAGCATAACTTCCTGTGCCATTTGTGTTATGGCCACGAAAGACTCCAATTGTGGTGCTAGCTGATAAGAGTTGTGCTATAATGGTTTCAAGCCATCCTGGAACATACATCAACAGCCTAAAGAGCTCATTAATGGTGTTTGCTAAAGGTGCTTTTATTAATGCTCATACCTCTAACCCCAAGTATTTATTTTTTTGGAAGCATAACTTCCTGTGCCATTTGTGTTATGGCCACGAAAGACTCCAATTGTGGTGCTAGCTGATAAGAGTTGTGCTATCACGTTTGTAAGCAAATAAAATGATTTCCAATAGCAGACAACAAAACTGATGAAAGAAAATCCAATTGACTTATTTACGGAAAGGCTTGAGCCATACATGTAGAGACTTTTTAACCGTCGGACCATTCGGCTACTGCCACCAAATCTATAGTCTATAGTAATCTGGGCTGGTTGACATTGTGGTGCTGCAAAATCAGGATTTGAATCAATGGGACCATTCGTGATTCACTAAAGCCGTTCAACTATCCCAGTTCTGTCCTCAGGTATGGTTACCAAACCATACTGTGAAATGTGTGTATGAAACGGTTTACAATCATACCATATTAAAACGTGTTCTAAAACGTGTTACTTGTCAGCCCAATGCTGGAAAAGCGCTTATCTGCTTGTGACATATCAAATACT